TGTCGAGAGCAGAACGAAGCACATTGCTCTCCGCTACTTTCTTGCTCGTGAGCTGCAGTAGCGTGGTCAGTTGCGACTTGCGTACGTGGCCTCTTAGGCCAACACAGAACGAAGCACATTGCTCTCCGCTACTTTCTTGCTCGTGAGCTGCAGTAGCGTGGTCAGTTGCGACTTGCGTACGTGGCCTCTGAGGCCAACACTGCTGATGTTTTCACCAAGGCACTTCCGCCTTGTGATCATCAGCGCTTCTGCACTCAGCTAAGAGTTGTACCTGTCTTGCCTCACTTGCTCACCTCTTGACCTTATTTATACCTGCTCTTGGTTGTTTAGCCTTATATCTCTATGTGTACTCTTGCATGTGAACTGGCCTTCTGGCCTTGACCTTGAGCTCGGACTGTGTGGTGACGTTGTGATCCACCCTGAGCTTTGCTTTGCTTTGCTTGACTGGTCTTGTGACCCCTTGTTCTCCCCCACTTTGCCTATGGGGGTGTGTCAAATTACAATATTGTGTAGGCTGTAGTGGGGTAGCCCATATGGGGTACACATTGCTAGGGTTGCATATTTGTATCACTTCCATTCATAGTTCATTCATCCTCGTTCTACTTTCCTCACGCACCGCCATCTTCGAAGTCTGCGACATTCCGAAAGTGGCGTCCGGCACACGATCACGTGTAAGAATGGCCGGAGGATCTGGAGGTCAGACGAATCTGACGGTTGAAGCGCTGCCCAACCCGGCTGCGACAAAAGAGGAAACGACGACCATTCCCTCCGCCGTCCTCGCACAACTACTTCAGCGACTCACGAGCCTGGAGTAGGCCTCTCGTTATCAGGGTAAAGTACTCTTTTTGCACTGACTGGCGGCCGCTTATTTTCAGTTACCCTTTCACAGGCAGGGTAGTGGATTTTTTACCCTAGGCCATAAAGTGTAAGTTTTTCAATACCCTTTAAAAAACAGCATAAGGAACACATTACTCCGACTGTACAGTGTATAATACCAGCTATACTGGTACTGAGTGCTCCGTAGCGAGACGAAACACTGGACAGGTCCCTGCAGAAACGGTACCACTAGCGAGATTTGAACTTGCGACCTCTCAGATCTAATGCGCAATTGAACCAGCTGAATTGCTAGCCATTGATTTTGAGTGCTTCGGCGTTTTGACTAATCAAAACATTTTAAGAATACCCTTCCCAAACAGACCAACTGTTTTTTTACCCTGCATTTGTCAGGGAAACAAAAAATTTACCCTACGCATCAGGGTTGACTATACCTACAACCTTGATTACTAAGGGTGGCCCAAAACGAATCTAAAGCCCTGGCCTGGAGCAAGGGCTCCAGACATCGCGGAATGGCGATGCGGGAACTTCTTCCCAACCCACTCAACCGACCCCAAACGGCCAAAACTCCGCCCCGCAAGGCTTCTCCTTAGATACGAATGGCTCAACCCCCAAGACTCCTTGTCCCAGCGATGAAGCAATTCTCTCCGCGCAATCAAGGTTTTTGAGCATATAAAAAATGAAGACAAGTGTGTGCTTTGATGGCAGAGACTTTTACACTTGGAGCTTCGAGCTGGAGCTGCTGCTGCAAAACGCGCATATTTATTATTATTTCGACGGGAGCTACTCGGGACCTGCTGAGGACACCGACGACGCAAGGACTCGCTATTATAACGAGTCCCTGATGGTGTACAGGATTCTTATGCGTAACATGTCGCCGGCGGAGCAGTTGAACGTTCGTTCATACAAGACATCGAGTGCCCCACCCCTCGACACTTGGCGCCACCTGAACGACGTGTATCAGCCCAAGGACTCCGTCTCCTCGAGCCGACTACTCCAGCAACTACTGGAAACTAAGATTACCTCAGGGGAGAAGGTCAACACCTACATCAATCGCTGTCAGAGCCTTCCCGATCAAATTGTGAAGTTGGGAAGCTCGATTTCCGAGGAAATCTTTGAGACTGTGACTTCAGATATTTGAGACTGCAGTGGTCAGTATTGACTGTAGTCTTGGCTCCCTCTAGGTAACACCTCCACGCCTTTGAAGGCTATGACTATCGGTAAGGCTTCCTTGTCGTGAATGGGGTAGTTAAGTTCTGCTCCGTGTAGCTTCTTACTGAGGTAGGCGATGGGCTGCAAACCGCGTTCGTGATCCTGCATCAGTACTACTTCGAATTCTTAGTCACTAGCGTCTGCTTCTACCACGTAGTCCTTGTCTGGGTCTGGTAAGATGAGTACTGGCGTTGTAGTCAATGCTGTCTGTAACTGCTCCATGGCTTGCTGTTGAGGAGTATCCCATTTGTAGAGCGTATCCATTTTCAGTAGGTCAGTCGGTGGTGCTGCTATCTTAGCGTACTACGGCACGAACCTGTTGTAGTAGTTGGCGAAGCCTAGGAAGTGCTGCAACTCCTTCACGTTCTCCGGTACTTTCCACTTCTTGACAGCTTCGATCTTCCGCGGGTCCACGTGTACGCCCTCGACACTCACCATGTGCCCGAGAAACTGCACCTTCTTCAGTGCAAAGTCACTCTTTGACAGCTTCATGTAGAACTTATTTTTCCACAGGATCTCGAACCTGACGTCCTGGGAGGATCGAACACGGCGCGAGGTGGGGTGGTAAAACTGCCACCCAGGCGCGTCAGGGAGGAAGCCAAGGAAAACGCAGGGAACAGCACGGGGGGACAGCTTGTCCGCAGACAAGTCGCGGACAAACGCCCGAGATCCCCAGACCCGAAACGCAGACGCATCGCCAACCTTCCCCGTCTACCGCATGGCGGGGAAGGTCTCTGGCAAGGAGACCCGGGGCTGAAGGTTGAGCTGATGCGCGGCGTACTGAACCGCAAACGGCCATAGAAAATGGGGGTCAGCCGCATGCATCATGGACGTACGAGCGGCGTCCATGACCATGCGAATGCGACACTCAGCAATCCCATTTTGTTGTGGAGAGGCCGGAAGCGTGAAGGTCTTGCGGATGCCCTGTGCACGACAGAAGGCTCCCAGACGGGTAAAGGAAAACTCTCCGCCTCTGTCCGAGTGCAGACGCAGAATAGGAAAGTTTGAGCCCTTATTGATAGGGCACTCATCTCACACTTATAGGATTATCCGTTTTAGAATTGGGTGTGCTAATCATGCAAAGTTCATGCTTGTGTTTGTTTTATGGGTTACAAAAACTAGCACTATACATGCTATGCGAGTACCCCTATAGCGGTACTGTGGGATGTACACAGTCATTCGGTTTCTGACACGTGTGACAGGTCGCAGAAACTGCTCTATTTCCACGTTGCGGAGGGAACCATGCGGATGGGATAGTTATACGTGGCAGCCTGTCATGAACCTGTCACAGGACACCTTTCTTTTTTTTTAGGGGCTGCCCGTCACCATTTCGTACTAGGTCGAGGCAAAGCTGAGACCATGCAATGCACCACAGAACATGCAATATGCTTACATGGCATATAAGGTTGGCAATCAACCAACCAGCAACTGAAGTAAAACATTTAGGAGAACAATCTGGCAACAAATAGGCCAATCACTGCAGAAGGATGCAAAGAGTAGTTCGCAGATGTTCGAAGGGAAATGATGAGAAGCCTAATATTTTGATGTAGGGGACAGAAAAGTCTTACTACGCCTGGCGTTTGTAGCAAAGCCTTTCTCACCTTCTGTGAGGACGAGAGCACAACCAATCATACCAGCAAAGCAGAAGTTGTTATCAAGGTGGGTGCACCAAAGCTCAAGGTCATTCTCGCCATTCCAATCTGAGTCTTGGTTCCACAACTAGCCTCCTCACAAGCTTCCCTCTCATTCTAGTGTCGGCCTCAAATCATGCAGGCAGACAGTGTATGGTAGTAACCGTATAGCTACTTGCCATCTTCTGGCTTACTTACGCGATGTCGTCCCTGTTGATCACAGATGGCTGCGGATTGTCTGTACGACTAGGGCGGGAGTCTTATGAAATGTTAGTCGTTCGTCAGGAAGAGTGGAACGAGGCGTTGTTACTTTTCGGCCTTGTGTATGTATCCAAGCGCGGTTTGTAACGCACGCCGACTTCATCGGCACGTTAAACCCTTGTATTTTTGGACACGCACCTGCTATCTTCTTACCTCTACGACATGTCGGCTTGGATGCAGGGAGGTTGCCAAGGACAAGATCGGGGATCCTCGCGTTCGCAGGGACATAAAGATTCTGGCTCCTACCGAGCATCGGCGTTTGAGGTCTGCCGTCCCGCGTGTCCCCAGTTGTGGCAGCGAACATCAGTCGTTGTTGGACTACCAGATGGTTTTAATACCCATGATATCAGAGTGAGTTTCTTGACATGGATCCGCAACGTGTGTCGATGACGCCAGCTTATCTTGCTAATCCAAACTTCGATGTACTGCAGAGTCCCTGTTGTTCACTCGACGGCGATCAGTCTCATGGTGCTGATGAACCCGCAAGATTTGTTAGCACATCCCCGCGGAGAGTACCGTACGCGTGTGCTACACTTTGACCCTAAATCTCCAATCCCAACCCATCGCCACAGCGACCATGGCAAGGAGGTGTTCGAGTAAGTGTCACTCCTTCATCAGATGTGCGGTTTGTATGGACGCATGTTATTGATTATTTGCGACCCCCTTGCCCTACAGCTGGATTATTCGACAACTAGATGTGGAATACAGTCGAGGTCGCAGGGTCTCTGGCAGCCACGCCGAAGCGGTGCAGAAAGGTTTGAGGGATCGCCTAGAGGAACTGATTCTGGAGGAAGGCAGGGTAAGGAGCCTCTATTTTTATGATTTAAGCGTTGTATGATATTAAGCTTGTAAAAAGTTACGGGAGTGTCTGACAACCACCGTTTCATGCACATGTTACAGATCAACAAGGTTCATGGACAGAGGCAAGTGGGTTCCGGGCTGCACGTTACCCATCTGTTCAGCAAGTTGCTGGACAAATAGGGAGATGTCATGGCGATTCAAACTGCAGAGCCGATGTTTGCCTTAGGGAAGGGGAAAAACCGCGCGAAAGAAATTCGGAGTATGCTGGAGCCGACCTGTAGGGCCTTCTTCGACCTGCAAGGAGTCCAGCTCCGTCCCGCCCCGGATGTAGTCATGACGACCCATGAGGCTCGAGTGGTGGAGAGCGCACCTGAACGGTCCGGGAATACCATGGAGCCGGCGGGACATAATAGATCCGAAGCGGTAGAGGGACAGAGAGACGTACCTGCCGCAAACCGGGACGCAAATCCAAGAGTAGGGGAAATTTCATAAACCCGCCGACCTGCACCGGGGGGTGCACTACTGAGTGGCTCGACATCTAGGTCAGCCCGTGCAGACGAGTGTGTTAGGTCTGGAGTTAGGCAGGGTTAGGAGGCCGCCGGAACGCGAAGCACGGACGGAGACTGATTTGGCAAGTATAGCAGATGAAGGCGAGGAGGGTGTTGAAGATCCACAGCTGCCAAGTCAGGTCAAACAGGCAGAGGAGCAGTGGTGGAAGGCGGCTGATGATAAGCGGATGGCCGAAGCAGAAGCCAAGAGGAGACGGGCTGAAGAGAGACAACGGCGCCGTGATGGCGACACCGATCCTATCGTCTCTTTCCTGGGAACTGGAGACATACGTGAAGCATGGGAGCGTGGGGCACGAGCCGCTGCAAGGGCACACGTGGGAGAGGCAGGAGAGGAGCTCGCCAGCAATGTGCGGCAGCATATCGAGGAGGATAGGGGATACGTGAAAGTTCGCTTGCCCAGCGTAAAGCGGAAGGGGGCTGAAGAGGCCCGGAGAGGGGACGTCGATGTGCTAGAGAATTTGGGAGAGGCGAAAAAGAAGGCGCAGAGCAACACGGGTGCAAAGGCTCATAAGATGGCGGAGGTAGTGGCGCATCAGAAAGCAGAGGATGCGGCCCATCGGTTCGTCGATGCAGAGGCGGCACTTACGGCAGAGGACGGGGCGCCAAAGGAAGCAGAGGCTGCGGCGCAGCAGAAGGTGGGTGCAGAGGCGGTCAAGAGTGCGGAGGCAGTCGCGCGTAAAGAAGCGGGTGCAGCAGCAAAGCTGACGTCGGAGGCAGTCGAGCTGCAGGTGGTGGAGGCAGTGGCGCAGAAGGAATCAGAGGCAACGGCGAGCCAGAAGGATGAGGGTGCGGCGCCGCAGAATGATGAGGCAGACGCACAAAAGGAATCAGCGGCACCAGCGCAGCAGAATGAGGAGGGTGCGGCGCCCAGGATGGTTGAGGCAGAGGCGCACAAGGAATCAGAGGCAGCGGCGCAGCAGAATGAGGAGGGTGCGGCACCGAAGATGGTTGAGGCAGAGGCGCACAAGGAATCAGAGGCAGTGGCGCAGCAGAATGAGGAGGGTGCGGCCCCGAAGATGGTTGAGGCAGAGGCGCACAAGGAATCAAAGGCAGCGGCGCAGCAGAAGGAGGAGGGTGCAGAGCCGAAGATGGTTGAGGCAGAGGCGCACAAGGAATCAGAGGTAGCGGCGCAGCAGAAGGAGGAGGGTGTGGCACCGAAGAAGGTTGAGGCAGAGGCGTAGAAGGAATCAGAGGTAGCGGCGCAGCAGAAGGAGGAGGGTGCGGCACCGAAGAAGGTTGAAGCAGAGGCGCACAAGGAATCAGAGGCAGCGGCGCAGCAGAAGGAGGAGGGTGCGGCGCCGAAGATGGTTGAGGCAGAGGCACACAAGGAATCAGAGGCAGCGGCGCAGCAGAAGGAGGAGGGTGCGGGGCCGAAGATGGTTGAGGCAGAGGCGCATAAGGAATCAGAGGCAGCGGTGCAGCAGAAGGAGGAGGGTGCGGCGCGGAAGATGGTTGAGGCAGAGGCGCACAAGGAATCAGAGGCAGCGGCGAGGCAGAAGGATAAGGCAGCGGCGCTGCATATGGAGGAGGCAGACGCACATAAGGAGGGAGAGGCGCAGAATAAGGCAGAAGCAGCGGCGCGGCAGAAGGTGGAGGCAGAGGAGCAAAAACAGGCTGCGGAAGAGGCGATACAACTGGCTCGGGCAGAAGTGCGGAAGAAGGCTGTTGTAGAGGCGCGGCAGAAGGCGGACGGTGAGGCGCAGAAGATGGCAGAGGCCGAGGAGCAGAAGCAGGCTGAGGCAGACGCACGTAGGAAGCCAGATGGAGAGGAGGGTTCAGATGGGAATAAAATGATACAAACAGAGGGACGGGAGACGGCGGGTGCTGAGGGGCACATCATTGCAGAGGAAGAGGGCCAGCATGACGAGGAGGCAGCGTCGCAGGTATTCGCATACCGAGAGACGCAGAGCATGGCAGAGACAGAGCGTCAAAATACTATGGAGGAGGTTCGTGTGGTCCCGGAGGCTAGAGTGGGGCACTACGAGGGAGATGCGCTGAAAACAGAAGAGGAGCAGAATGAGGAGGATATGGTGCATCCGGCAGTCCGGATATTTTTGGGAGGAAGTCCGACGCGGGGACCAGGAACTGGGGTAGAGGGGCCATGGAGGGTGGCAGACGATGGGGCGCCTAGGGATACAGTGGATCTCAACAGGCAGAGGCGGCCTACCCTTCACCAGAGAGCATTGGAGAGGAATCTCAGCCAAGGCGGGGTGGCAGAAGCGTTTTGGCAGGTAGAGTGGGTCGAGGCAGAGACGGCAATATGGCGGATGTTGCAGCGTACGAGTACAGTCCTGGTCGAACAAGGTGACAGGTTCGTCGAGGCCGAAAGCTGGGACATAAGCCCGGTAGAGGTAACGCGTCGTCTGACGCTCTTGGCCCGAATGGTGACGCAGACGTTCTGCAACTTGGCGGCCCGCAACAGTAGCATTAGTCGCGACGTGGCCGATCTGACTGTCCATTACTGCCGCGACGCCCTGGCCAACCTGGAAGAAGTCCGCCATGGAAACGAGGAACGGCGGCGCCAAGCTGAAACGACGGCCAGGTTTCGCGAGCAGGTGAACACGAGACTCTCCAACTTGCGGGAGAGTATCGTAAGGGTGAGTGATCAGGTTCGCTAGTCGGGAGGGGGAATGGCGGAGGGCACGTTAAAGGGGGTGGAAGAGAGGTTGAGAGAGGTTCTGAGAGAAGACTCTGAGCGGCGGAACAGGGATAGACTGCAGGACGAGGAGTGGAGGCAGAAGGCCACGAGGAAGGAAGCAGACGCGCAGAGAGACGGAAGAAGGAACGACAGCAGGAGGAAGAGCGTCGGCAGAAGGAGATGAGAGAGGGAATGAAGGAGATGAAGGAGGCGATGATGAAGGAGATGAAGGCAGAAATGAAGGAGATGAAGGATGGGATGGTAAACCAGATTGTGGGGAGGTTGAGCGCGGTTTTGAGAGAAGAATCCGAGCGGCAGAAGAAGGCGAGGCAAGAGGACGCAGAGCGGCGACAACAACAGGACGCGAAGAGGAAACAAGTGGCGGACGACGAGGAGAGACAGAAGAAGAAACAACTGGACGAGCAATGGCGGAAGGAGGAGGAGGAGAAGAGGAAGGATGTAGAGGCCACAGAGCGGTGGAGGAAGAAGAAACATCAGGAGGAAGAGCGACGGCAGAAGGAGGTGGAGGCGGGAATGAAGGAAGTGATGGAGGCTGTGAAGGAGATGAAGACGGGGATGAAGGGGTGGAAGGAAGGGATGCTAAGTGAGGTGGAAAAGCGGGTGTCAGTAGTTCTGAGATTGGACGCAGAGCGGCGGCAAAAGGAGGAGCACGGTAGGAAGGCAACGGAGGGAGATCGGCGACGGAAGGAGGATGCGCAGAGGAAGGAGGCTGAGGAGGACGATCGGGAGGAAAGGGAGAAACAACAGGAGAAGGAACACCAGCAAAATGAGGAGGCGCAGATGAAGGAGGCAGAGGAAGCAGAGCGGGTGGAAAGGGAGAAACAGCAGGAGATGGCGCGCCTGTAGAAGGAGGAGGCGCAGCGGAAAGATGCAGAGGAGGCCGAGAGGCAGGAGAGGGAGAAACAGCAGGAGATGGCGCGCCTGCAAAAGGAGGAGAGGTAGAGGAAGGAGGCAGAGGAGGTAGAGCGGCGTCAGAGGGCGAAACAACAGGAATTGGACCGCCTGTAGAAGGAGGAGGCGCAGAAGAAGGAGGCAGAGGAGGCCGAGCGGCAGCAGCGGGCGAAACAGCAGGAGATGGAGCGCGTGCAGAAGGAGGAGGCGTAGAAGGAGGCAGAGGAGGCCGAGCGGCAGCAGCGGGCAAAACAGCAGGAGATGGAGCGCCTGCAGAAGGAGGAGGCGCAGAAGGAGGCAGAGCAGGCCGAGCGGCGGCAGAGGGCGAAACAGCAGGAGATGGAGCGCCTGCAGAAGGCGGAGCAGTGCCGAGCAGAGAAGAGGGCCAGACTTGCATCCTACGCGGAACAGCAGCAGCAACTGGAGGCAAAGGCAAAGGCGATGGCTGAAGAGACAAAACGATTGGCAAGGGAGATGGAAGAGGAGGATTTGACCATGCAGGGGGAGGGGACCTGGAAGGGAGTCGAGGAGGAAATAGTTGAGGGCCTGGGGAGTTTGCTGTTGATTGAGAGCGGGGAGGCGAATGTAGCAGAGGGCGTGGCTATTGTTCCCGTACAGAACATAGAGGTGTCCAGGAGGCGGCCTAGACAGGAGGACAGGGAACCGGAGGGTCATGTGGCTAAGAGACGACGTGCAGCTGGTATACAGGAGTTGATACCGATAATCCCAGGGGAAAAGAAAGGGATGAAGATCGACAAGTGTGACAACAGGAAAAACGCCGTAGTGGACGACAAGGGTAAGACTTTGGGTGTCTGCCTGCCGTTCAGGGGAAGCGGGTTCTCTCAACGGGGCGAGGGAGCTTTGCAGAAGTGGACGTCTGAGCAGACCATCAGCGGCCAGAAGCGGAACCTCGGCTCTCACAAAACGGTGTGGGAGAGGGCATACACGGTCGCAGTCTGCTGGAAGTTCTACTTCCCGGATATTGACATGCAGGCATACGGCATGAATCCAAACCGTATTAACAAGTGGCGGGAAGACCTCGACTTCACAACGTGGCTTCCAACAGGGGTGTGGAGCGTCATCAACGAGCTCCACGTGGACAAACCGGACGGGTGAGTGTTTATGTGATGGACAGTTGCAACTTCTAAACACCCGCGAAGTTCGATGGTTCTGATCTTGCGACACTGGTGTCTTGTGCAGATTCTCACTTGTTCAAACCAACACGGCTCTTCGGCAGCAGCAAGGGGATGGCTTTCAGGTAGCTACCTGCGCTGGTGTCGGAATAACTGCGTGGCAGAAGATGGTGGGAGGCGTGGAGGGTGAAAACGGCTATTCGACGGAAGAACACGCAGTCGGACTTGCCGCCACGTTGTCTGTAATGTGGGCCGCATCCACGAATGTGGACCAGACCCAATGGGAGACGGGTGCAACATCAGCTGCACGTGGAACTTCTATGGCCATAGCATTTTGTGCTGCCAGATCGTCCACTGCTGCCACCGTCTCGCCGGTTGCCTCGTCATCTTCTGCGACCGATGTGACCTCTGCCGTCCTCGATGCCCTTCCGACGCTTGCAGCCTCTGTTGCTTGCGTTGCGGTTGAGGCGATGAGGTCAGTCAAGGATCAGAAGCATGACAAGGAAACGTGGATTCTGCCCCTGCCGGATGCGCTGCTGAAAGCGCTTCCGGCAGAGTCACGAGCAGCCGGGGATACAAAGCGGATGACGAGGGAGGTGGCAAAGGTGGTGACCTCTTGGTGCCTATGCAGCATGGCATCAAGAGGCCTTTGCTAGCACCAGGGCGTCTGCCTCGGAGTCCTGCAGAAGAAGTTGGGCGGCCGGGATACCACAACAGGGGCGGATAAGAAGAAAACTAAGAAATCGTCAGCGAAAACGAACGCGACGAAGGATGCGTCGACGGAGGAGAACACCGGCACTGGCGACCAGGAGTGATAGAGGCAGACGGGTTCTTTGGAGGTCTTGTTAGTACCGCAATAGAAATAGATTTTCTTTTCCGTTTTTTTTTTTTAAACCGTGTATAAATATAGGTGTTGTATACAATACAATGAGAGATGTATTTTTGCTATGCAAACCTTCACTACACTCGCGAAATTTGTAGGGCGCGTATGGAGCTAGCAATGCAGCCGATAGAACTCGCCATCAAAGGGAGGGCCAACCGAATGAAAAATTTGACAGCAGGACAGCCTTCTACGACACTTAATCTACGTTTAATACTTGGCTTCTACGAAGAGGTAGAAATATGGGGCTAAACAATCGCATAACATCTTGTCTTAGGGAGCACCTTGTTAAGAATCGTATACGGTATTCCTTTGCACAGACCTTTCTGCTATGGAGATTGAATTCCTCGACGCCAAATTCTGGAGGCAAATCGGAAACGACACTATACCGCAGAAAAACCCACGTATGGATAATATCTACCATCATAGATAGGATCTTCGTTGCTACTAGTAGAATATGACACTCCTTTGCCTAGAAACATATGCTAAGATTGAATACATCCACGCAAAAGTCTACCGAGTGGCCTAAGAACACACATCTACAATCGTGAGAGTGAATTCATCGATGCCGCTCTATAGAATAACATCGTATACGACATGAGTCCGCAGAATTTCGCCCGGTGTATACCATCGATGTGTGCTCCAATGCATAGACCGGAAAAACATTCTACAAAAAACAGCGCGTCCACGGAAGAAGGTGGCATACAAGCCCCAAATCGGGCTTCTACAGAGACAGACAAGTGCCTGTAGTGCATATTCAGTACAACCGGAATAAAGTACCCAAATAACTAAACCGCCCCACCATAAAGGTACATGCCCCCTCATTTCTGCTCCTAGCGTTTCGATGCTTCGCCCTTCACCTTTTCCCGTTCCGCCTAGCGGTTCGTTGATTCTCCTCTTCTGCCTTGTCCTGCGCCATGTGTTCCTTGTGGATCTCCTCCCACTCATCATCCCCAAACAGCGAAGTTGCCCACTCCTGGTCGCGAAGGCCCTTCTTGACTAACAGCCAGCCCACTCTGCGTTGCGCCAAGTCGTTGACGGCCCTCTTTTCCATCGACGAACCAGTCTTCTGTTTCTTGATGGGCGGAGTCTCATGCAGCACCGCCAGGCCGTTGGTGAATTCCGTGAAGTTGCACACGAGTGAAACCTCGTCCAGCAGCTTAATGGCCGTTGCGGTCGCCGCCTCGGAGCTGTCTTTTCTTAGCGTCTCCATGGAAACCATGACACGATGCACGCGACGCATCTTTCGCTCGCATGCACCCTCAGCCATCCCGGGCGTACCTTTGTCAGCAAACAGGGAATATGCGGTGATGAAGCTGGAATTCTTGTCCTTCTTCTTATACCGGTCGAACTCTGCACAGACTTCGCGCAGTGACCTGTCGCCCATGATGAGGCTTGGCTGCACCCACACTTTCCAGGCAGCAGCAATAGTGGTGGCTTCGCGCCAAGACACAACGACCACGACGAAGAATTCTTCCACGGCAACTGGTGCTTTGGATGCGTCCATTGCCTGGTTTGCTCCTGTTCCCGCGCTCTTCGACGATCCGTCGATCTCTGCAGAGGTGTTTGCCGCATCATCCCTGGCCACAACAGACTTCTTGTATGCTTCGAACTCTGCAATGACCCAAGCCTTGTCCTCTCGCTCAGTGGCGAGTTTCTCCCTCAGTTCAGCGTTCTCCATCACCAACTGCATTTCACGTCCTCTCGAAATCCCAAGCTCCTCCCTGAGCATATTGGCGGTGAGGTGCATCTTCTGCATCTTCTCTTCTGCGGTCGTGCGAAAGATAGCGTCCTGCAGAAACCAACACGGCAGAACTCAGCATGAACGAATAACTCCCTCTCTCTACCACTAATAGCAGGCACTTACTGCTTTGGTGGTGGTTTGGCCGGTTGCCCGAAGCTTCTCGCCCTGGAAGTGAGAGATAGCGACCAGGTACGCCCACTTTCGGAACAGCGGGTGGTTGCACAAGGGGCTCATATGCACATATGGATGCCTCTCGCAATTGCACCGCGGGTTTCTCACGTCGTGCTGATGGTAGAACGCCCACATCATAGCCAGATCCTGTGCAACAACGAGGCGTCAGATGCTCGCGAGGGTCTCAAGGAACCTCGCCCCCGCATAGTGCCTCTTCAGCGGATCGGTCTGCGCAGCGTTCCATTCTTCGACCTGACGGGACGAGTATGCAGGAGAAATGCGATGGTTCATAATTGCGTATCAAAATTAAGCTACGAACGCGAAGACTGTACACTAGCACGTACCTTCTTCCAACCCTCTTCGACCCAGGGGAAAATTTGAAGCCTCAAGAGATCCAAGAGCTGCAACCACTCATCCTTCTCCTTATCCTTATGCCGCGGAAGCTTGGCGCGGGCTCTGCCGATGTAGTAGTCTCCACGATCCCCGCTGAATCCTGCCAGCAGCCAAACCGGCTTGAATGGAATACCGAACACATAACACCTCCTCAACTCCCCCTGCGCCCATCCGCCCAGAGTGCCGATATCGTTGTCGAAGCAACCGTTGTCATGGAGTTGTTGCGCTCCGGATCTGCGGAATGCATGTGTCACCTTGCTCGGAATCCATCTCGCCTTCGTCATGGCCCACTTAATCTAGGTGTTATGCGTTTTGTAGTGCATCTCGTCTCGCCAGTCAGCTTGTTGTTGGGGTTGGTCTTTGACTTCTTGGAAACAACGACGAGTACGAAAACGTCCAGATAGTCGTCGAGGTGTGATGTGCTCCGCCTCATGCGGACAAACAGGTTCCCAAGGCGAATCTTTCGAATGCTGCACCCTCTTCCGAGAAATTGGTGTTCGAGGTGCATCATAACCGGGACTTGCAGAGCCTTCCAGAGAGGAAGCGAGATTTGTGACGGAGGCGTCCGCCACCAGATCTCTAGGAGCTCTTTTTGCAGAACAGTAAGATGCAGCGTCCTGTATAGGCTTCCCGTATAGCAATCACCAATTGATCCACGGGTTTGATCTCGACCATCCCTACATAGAATAGCACAGTAATTATGTAAACCATGTAGAACATGTCAGAACATATATATAGCTTATACTATTGTGTAGGCTGTAGTGGGGTATCCCATAGGGGGTACAACCCAGTTAGGGTTTCCTATTTGTACTCACTTCATTCATAGTTCATTCATTCTCGTTCTATTCTCAACATGGTATCGAGTAGGTTCCCCCACGGGAACTGTGCTTAGGGCCCACCACCTTCAAAACTTTTTTTTCTGCCCGGAGCGCGCTCCGGGCCCTTGCTCTCTCCTTTTTGGCCTGCCCTGCGGCCCCCTAAACGCCCGCGCGAGCCGCCCTTTGCCGCCCGCGCACAGCCCGTCTCGGCACCTAGCCGCCCGCGCCCGCCCGTTCAAGCACCTAGCCGCCCGCGCGCCGCCCGTCCCGGCCCTTAGCCGCCCACGCGCCGCCCGTCAGGGCTCCTAGCCGCTCGCGTGCAGCCCGTTCAGGACCCTAGCCGCCAGCGCGCCCGCCCGTTTAGGCCCCTAGCCGCCAGCGCGCCGCCCGTTCAGGCCTCTAGCCGCCAGCGCGCCCGCCCGTTCAGGCCCCTAGCCGCCAGCGCGCCGCCCGTTCAGGCCCCTAGCCGCCCGCGCGCCGCCCGTCAGGGCTCCTAGACGCGCACGCGCCGCCCGTTCAGGCCCACAGCCGCCCGCGCGCCGCTCGTCACGGCCCCTCGCCATCTGCGCGCCGCCCGTCCCGGCCTCTAGCCACCCACGCGCGCCCGTCCCGGCCCCTAGCCGCCCACGCGAGCCCGTCCCGGCCCTTAGCCGCCCTCGAGCGCCCGTCCCAGCCCCTAGCCACCCACGCGCGCCCGTCCCGGCCCCTAGCCGCCCACGCGAGCCCGTCCCGGCCCTTCGCCGCCCTCGAGCGCCCGTCCCGGCCCCTAGCCACCCACGCGCGCCCGTCCCGGCCCCTCACCGCCCGCGCGCCGCCTGACCCGGTCCCGAGCCGCCCTGTGCCGCCCGTCCCGGCCGCGCTCTCCCGTCCCTGCTGCACGACGCTGTCCCTGCCCCCACGCCGCCCGCTAGCCGCCGTGCGACCTGAGCCGCCCGAGCCGTCTCCGCAGCTGAGGAGCCGAGCCGCCCGAGCCGCCTGTGCCGCTGACTGCCCGAGCCGCCCGAGCCGCCCGCGCCGCCCGAGCCGCCCGAGCCGCCCGTGTCGCCCGAGCCGCCCGAGCCGCCCGAGCCGCCTGCACCGCCTGAGGAGCCGAGCCGCTGGTCCTGCGAGGCTGCTGTTGCTGCTGAACCGGTTGAGCTGCTGTGTTGCTGTGCTGCTGTGCTACTGCGCTGCCCGACCCGTCCTGTCTGGTGAGACCGTCTACTCCTGTCATGGCTACCCCTAGTGTCCTCGCTTTTGACGCTGAGGGTCGCGCCATTGACTTTGAGGTCTGGGTCGACGACTTGCAGCTGTTCTTGTAGTGCGATAGAGCAGACGGCCTTTCTCTCTTTGACCTCACTTCTGGCGCCTCTCCTGCCCCTGCTGCTGATGCTGATCCCACTGTGCGCTCTCAGTGGGCTACCCGCGATGCTGCTGCACGTCTTGCTGTGCGTCGCCACCTCCCTACCTCTGAGCGCGCGCACTTTAGTCAGTACAAGAGTGCTCAGACCTTGTACGACGCTGTAGTTGCGCGCTACTCTTCCCCTGCCACTGCTGCACTGAGCCGTCTCATTCTTCCCTACCTCTTTCCTGACCTCTCTGCCTTTCCCACTGTCGCTGACCTCATTACGCACCTCCGCACTAGTGACACTCGCTACCGCGCCGCCCTTCCTGCTGAGTTCTGCGCCAAGAACCCCCCCCCCCATGTACATCACTCTCTACTACGTAGTCGCGCGCCTCCCTGACTCTCTTCGCGTAGTCAGGGACCACTTTCTCGCAGTCTGTCCCACCACCCTCACTGTCGACCTCCTCGAGAAGGCCCTCCTCGCG